ATTCACATGCCTACGTGACTACAAAGAGTAACGTTAATGATATTTCGTGCAAGACTGTCATGTTGTAATTAAGTTTATTTCATTCACAACCCGTTGCGGTGTTCAGCGGACTGTCGGTGATGTGTGGCTGTTAAATGTGCAGCTGCTCATGTCCAGAACCACACATGTTGATATAACACCACGCACACACACACACACACACACACACATATTTGCCCATTATTAACTGTCCTGCATGTCATGTGAGTGGAATGTTTAATAGCTTGTAGGTAATATTAATTAGCCTATTAATATCCCAGATAGCACACATACATCTGGCCGACATCGGCCCGATGTATCAAGTTTACATCGTTAAGACGTAGCAGGGAGAGCGTTTGCTCATTGCCAAGACGTCGCTGAGACGTCGGCCTTTAATCGAAAATGACCACCACGCGACGTTCAAACGATCAATAAAAAGCTGCGCTCAGTAGGCGCTCCTTTATTAATATACATATGCTTCGTTAATTACGACCTTTATTCATTTAGGTTGGACCTTTCAAACTACAAATATTTCACCATTCAATGTGAGAAATTAATGCTAACATTCAAAAATTGCTGACTGTTACCCTATTTCGTGTGAAAGTGTGCACAATGAAGAGTCAAAAGTCAATTTGAGAAACTTTATTTTCAAATTTCCACAAACAATATCTGATGGCCAGTCCACTTCTCCTGGCAGCCTGCAAGAGACAGAAAAGACATAACTGAGCACATAACTTTAAGAAACAAATCCCAACTTCACCACTGTATTTTTTTTGTTTAGCATTTCAGCTGTATTTTAGCCAGACTGAAGGCTTTGGGTCCGTCACTCTCATAGACTGTATAAAATAAGGTCACTCTGCTTAATTTAGTGTTGTAACGGCCTGACCTCCGCGGTCCTCTTCGCTCCCCTCACCCACACTTTAGCACCCGTTCTGGGATACAGTGTCGGCCCACCAGGCCTGACCTCCATGCTCCTCTCCGCTCCCCTCACACACACTTGAGCACCTGTTCTGGAATACACAGCGTCAACCCGCCCAGCCTGACCTCCACGCTCCTCTCACCCACACTTGAGCATTCATCCAGGCCGCAGAGGTCAGGCCAGAGGGCCGCGGAGGTCAGGCCCGGGCAGGACCATTGGTGAGTGGATCCCAAGTCTCGAGCCCTGCCCTCGCCACTCACCAGGGACCTCTTCTAACGGTCACAGAATAAACAACTTAGCTATTTTCTGCCAATTTATTCCAGTTAGCTTACCTGAAACCTACTGCGTTGAGATGCTGTGTTCCACACAAAGACCGCGACAATACTATCCAGCAAAACACGTCACTTTCGTCATGCCAGGGGCACTTCCGGCAAGCAAGAGGCTTGTGCCAAGTCAGGGGCTTCTGCTCCGGGGCTGCAGCTGGATGCTACTCCGACGATCTGTTTTCAAACTGATGTGGAACAAGTGAAAGAGCGTTGCGTCTATTATTATTTCTCAGTTTTAGCTTCAACTTGTAGGTTTTCCAATGGATTTAGACGCCAGAACATACGAACCAGGATTTGTTGGGATATGGTTTTGTTTATGATCAGATAGAGGTTTATGATCAGATAGAGGTAAGATAACTTTTGCTAGCTAGCTAGCGAGCTAGGTAACGTTTATGCTAAACGCATGTTAACCTAACGTTGTCATAATGACAAGCTAACGCTACTAGTGATGGTGAGATGAAGCCTCATGAAGCATAGAAGCTTTCCAGCAAATTGGTTCAGAAAAGGGTTCATTTCTCGAGGCTTCATGTGCACACGAAACCACCTGCTGGCCAAAGTGTATAAAACAGGCAGCATCTTAACCATGTAATCTGTGATACACTGTATTTTGTATCAGTAACAGCTGTTGGGAATGACTATAAATAATGAAAAAAAAAAGTATGACCATAATTTGTTTAATTCAATATAGTGTATTTTTTACTGAGTATATTATGACTATACTGTATCAAATACACGTATAATAAACTGTAGTTGTTTTGTGAATGCTTCCTGTGTGTGTAAACCAATCATTTAGCCAAAAATTGTATTGTGGTGTTGTCACATAATATAATAATGGCAAGAGGGGTAATATTCATGTTCTGTATCACTTCTGGAAAATGGCATTGGTTTAAGCAGGCAGAGGACAGTGAAAGTGCTTGTGTAACTTGGAAGGGGGCACTGAATATGCTTTCAGCAGTGGCACAACCTTGGAGCCAGAAACATTCTCCTCTGCCGAGAGCTCCACAGTGGCATCGTTAAAGGGAGACAGCATAGACAGGCACCCACCAACAATGTTAAACTCGTCCAAGGTCAGTAAGGGGATGTCAGTTTGCAGACCGGCCAAAGCGGTCCCCACTGGTTCTCTGAGCTCCATCAAACGATTAAGCATTTGATAGTTGCTGTTCCACCGTGTCTCCACCTCTTGAATGAGCTTCAGTTTTGGCCTCCCCAGATGGTCTTGAACCTGTGCAAGCTTCTCCTTAAAAAATGCAGATGAGCAGTTAATTCAATAACTGCAGCAGTAACACAAACAAAATATTAGCATTATCCAAAATTATACAACATTTAGTTCTGGCCCTGCAATCTGATTGGTCGAGAGACAGTAAAACCGTGATGATATTGGAGTACAACATCACGGTTATTTCACTGTGTATGTATCACTCCGCCTCACAGCTGATTGCAATCAACAATCAAATCACAGCCATGACGATATCACAGTACACCATCACTCCCTCTTGTGTGATATTGCTTAATTGGAATTAAGTCAAAGAATGTACCTTAGCAGTGGTGCTGCTTCTAAAGTAGCCAACCAGCTTCCTTGCCTTGGCCCGGATGTCACACAGCACAGGGGTTTGATCAAGAGCCTTCTTCACCATCAGATTCAGCGTATGTGCTATGCAGATAGTGTGGAGAAGCCTCAGTTCTCTGACACAGGCAAGCATGTTGGCAACAACATCAGTAACCAGACATATCACATTATCAGTGATTCCCCAATCCTCCATTAGGGAGGCTTTCACACGGGCTAAATTTTCTGCTGTGTGAGAATGGGGGAATTTCAGCACTCCTAACAATACTGAATTTAGCCTGGTGTTCTCGTCAACAAAATGGCAGGTAACAGCCAGGTAGGCATCCATGTTAATGGATGTCCACATGTCAGAGGTAAGGCTAACTGCAGCCACCTTCTGCACTTTAGCCTTAGCCTTCTCCTTAGCTGCATCATATTTGGCCTCCACCATGGCCTTTACAGCCTAAAGAAAGAAGAAAACAAAACGTGCTCAATTATCAGATGTACAATGAAAGTACTCCTTTGCTTTATGCATGCACCCATACACACCTGCCTTGTGGGGAGAACATAGGTAGGATCAAGTTTGGACACAAATGCCCTAAACCCCACATCCTCCACAATACTGAAGGGCTGTGTGTCCTTCAGTATCATCGATATTGAGGCCTCATCCAGCTCTTGTTTTCTGGTGGCTGCATAAAAGACAATATATACTTGTCTTTCATTTGCACAATAAACAAAAGTCAACATACTAAAATTGTGACAGTATATTTTAATGACTTACCTTGGCTGGGTGCACCTCCAGTTCCCTCCTTATTTTCATGCAAGGCACGGAAGTGCCTTAGCATGGATGCGGTGTTGTTATTGTATCCTAACTCCTTGGAACACAATAAACACCTCACCTTTGAATAAAAGAAGAAATAGTGAAAAATACAGTTCTTGATAAGCAAACTTAATGCATCTGTAATAATGTTATAATTAGCTTACCTTATTGGGAGTAATCAAATCAAAATGTTCCCACACAGGGGAAATCCTCCTCTTCCTCGCTGGCTCCATCCTAGCAAAACTATCCTTCTCCTACTCTCCAAACTCTCCAAACTATCTTACTCTCAACTGACCAAAACTCTCCTCTATCACAACCACACATTTTTAATGGAACCCGTGAGGTTTATATTGCTGTCAAAACCTCGCGCCAAGAACTGAACCACTTCCCGAATCAGTCACGTGGTACAGCCAGGCAGCGAGGCTTCGGACGTCATCAATGACGTCACTCGTCTGAAACAACACAAGCCTCGATACACGCATCGCGGAATCTCTTCCTGGATTACTCGACACACACTTCGAAGCATCGGCACAGCACGTAACATCACTAAACGCTACGTCTTATTGACATTCAAAGACCATTTAAGTGTGAAAAACTAAAACAAGAAAGTCAATTAAAAGCTACAGTATTTCCTGTCTGTCAGATATGGCGCTTGTATTTGAGTCAATCTAATGTAACGTTAGTGTCCATGTAGTGCAATGCCCAAGGGATCAGTCCAAACATGCTGATGGTTATATTGATATAGCATGAGGGTAAACCTCTGTCTTGTGATAGGTGGGTGTTGTTAACTTTTACAGAGCTAGAAAAAAAAAACAGGAAGTCTGGAGGGAATATTTGTTGTGATACAGGAAAGCAGTAAACCGAAATGTCTATTGTGTGATTGTAATACTTTGCTGAATGTTTTTTATTGAACTCAACCCACAGTGCAGGAACTGTGACTACCAACAAGAGGCAGACAACAGCTGCATCTATGTCAACAAGATCACCCACGAGGTTGAGTAAAAGAACAGAAAACAGAACAGAAAAGATGCCACATAAATTACCAGGATCACGATTTGGTTGAAAATGAATGTCAAAATTTTGTTCTCACTGCATTTCATCTCTGCGTTAAAGAGTAAAACCCCCTTGAAAATCTTGTTTTTGCTGACCTCTAGTTGTTTTAACTTCTTACCTTGTTGTAGTGGTGTAAAGGTGTCCACAGTACCCTGTGACATCACTGCTGGGTGGTGTTACAGGTGCAACAAAGCACATTTCTTAAAACTTTTCATTTTGGTGTTAAGTTGTTTGCTGCTTGATATGTAACCACTACATCACTTTAACCCTCTACCGACACCAATTTTCCATCCAGACACTTTGAGGTACAGCAGTCCTGACTTTATACATGATCCTCTGGAAGTCAGTAAAAGAGAATCCTTTGATATTAATTGTGCAGATTCAGACTGCATAAATTGCTTATTTTCTGTGTAAATACTACGCTGCTCCCTAATAGTCAACCAAACGTTAGTAGACCAGAAAGGTCATTAGTCATCAGTCATTGGTCATTAGATTTTGCAGAGAAAAAAAAGTGACACTCTATTAGTAGCTGTGCCTTGTCAAAATAAATCAAAACCTATATGACTAGACCATGTGGGAATTTAATTTAGAAGGACAGACACAGCAGTCAGACAGGAGCCACGTTAATCTCCAGGGCTGGTACCTGCGGTTATTCCACAGGCTAGTTAATAACATGTCGGGCAGGAAATCCAAAGTGTGGGATCATTTTGAGAAGGTGAAGGACGAACCCAAGGTGATATGTAAACTCATCTTCATTGGTCGACTACAAACATGACGTATCATCTGAAACATGTCAGTAGCTACATGTCCACAGCGTCATTAACAGGCGGCTCGTTCAGTGTGTGACGTGCACTTGTAGATAAAATATAGGCCTATATTAATGAAGGTTCATTAGTACGGTTTCGTATTTCTCTGTAATGTAGCACAGTGTAAACAATGTTACTGATACTATTCTTTCTCTCACCTTCAACTCAAACCATTGTGTTGCCCTGCCCAAAATATATCATTTAATATTTAATTAATATCATACACATGCAGGTGACTAGTCGACAAATGGCCCTAAATGATGACTATTGGTCAACTTTGAAAATTCTTAGTCAGGGGCAGCCTTAGTAAATACATGTGAAGACACATTTTTAACAGGGCACTGACAATACTAAAACATTACATTGTATATTTTACACATGTAATTGAAGTCACCTTGCTTCTGTCTTTCTCCAGTGAGTTGACACAAATAATTATCTCAGGATCCAACACTACCAAGGACAGAGGACCACTCCTGTCCCAAGTAAGTTATACTATAATAAGTTGACCTCACTCATTCTCTCTGGAAACCCCTAATTGTTCTGTTTTTTTAGAAGTAATATTTCTTGTGTTGTAAATTTTTTGCAACATTCAGTATCGTAAAAGTTTTTGGACATTCAGTGCAGAAAACAGCTCTGTTTTGGCGATTTTTCTTTTCTTTTTTTACCACAAGAGGGCAGAAAGTTGACTCCTGCTTCCTTATACATTGCAACAAGCTTTTATATTGTTCAAGTTTGATTTCCTAACAAACAATCACCTAACGTTACACTGACACCAGAAACAAGACAAACTTGGTTTCTCATTGGAGTTCTCATTCTCTCCACATGACAAACATAAACTGAATATTTACTGGGAATTCAATCTAACCATTTGACCAGCCAAGTTCTGATAATTAAAATAGCTTTATCCGTCTGGATGATTGACTCTCTTCACCAGCCACACATGTATTTCTCCACTTGACCACCTTGAACTGGGCAGGCTGGGTACAACACGTTTCTGACTATACAAAGTTTTACATGGGCAAGTTTTATGATTTTGGACTTTAGCTGATTGTGAAATGAGATGTAACACTGAGTGGCTGTGTGTGTAATAGTTTCTAACATTGTGCTCACACCATGTGTCTTCCCAGATGTGGTCACAAGGAGGCAGTGTTCTTCCAGTCTCACAGTATGAAGGCTGAGGTAACGATGACACATGCACGACCTGTGGTCTTAATATTGTTTGTCTAGGAATAGTGTTGATGTTTTATTGTCTAAACCTATTGTTGATCTTATTGATAATTTTTGTGGTTTTTGCTATTCATTCATTCTTTGGATGAACTGCATGAACTACAGCACTTTGGTCAACCGAGGTTGTTTTTAAATGTGCTATATAAATAAATTTTGACTTGACTTGACTTGAATAAGTTTCCTTTTTTTGCTTTTGTGGTACGTGAGGAAACACCTTGTCCTTTGATCCACATATCGTCTCTTTGTATTTTAGGAACTGAAAAGAAGATCTACTTAAAGCATATGTTCTGTTTCTCCTGGCAGGATGCTATGCGACTGTACTACGTGTGCACGGCCCCACACTGCGGACTCAGATGGACAGAGTGAAGCTGGTGATAATGAAGAGGTCAAAACTTTTCATCTGCAAATTTACATCTGCTGCTGATGTGTGTAAACCCTGAAATGATCTTTGTAAGATGACATACAGTTTGTCAGACACCATCTTGTGAATATTATGTGTTAAATAGTTTTTTATAGCAGTTGTCATTTTCAAATGTGTTTTGTTAGATTAAAAGAATGAGTTCTTTCGAGTTCGAGTGCAGTTTAGTTGCAGCTATGTGTGACTTGGTCAGATGATGAGCAGGAGTGGAAAACTCTGTGGCAGCTGCTTGTGGGCAGGTGGGGAAGTGCAGGTCCTACATGACAGGTTAGCATGTGTATGCTGGGGCTCACTGTGTCATCCTCCACCATGTGCATGGTGAGGCCAGTGAAGAAAAAGTTTAAGTCAGTCTGTCTGAGACTATAAAAATGCATCAATTTGCAATTTGGTCTTTGACAATGCATCGAAATAGCACTTATGATGTTGTTTGCCATGTCTTGAACATTTAACAACTCAATATGTCATTAGAAAGCTGCAGCAGCCACTCGTTTCCAAGGCGGGAGCAGGTAAGGAACTCTTTACTGCATTATGTTAAATAGGTTCCATAAACGTCATTCCTAGTGTCAATATAAATGGACAGGAGAGATCAATTTTACTTTTGAAAGTTCAGATGATGGCATAAACGTATCCTCTGTCAGCTCTGTTATTCACTTAAAACAAATCTTTGCATGACTGTCAAACTAAAGGCTACACATGGTGTTTTACTTTGAGGGAAATTTCATAGACAGGAATTTATTTCTATTTGTATTTTATCTTTTTGACAGAAGTTCATCAGACCATCATTTGCTGTTTGGTCATGGGAGTTTGTGCAGTTGTCAGGAAAAAACTGGTGAACCAGGTAAGTGTATAATTTTTATTCTTATCTGCAAAAATACCACAACATTTCAGTTTTATTAAGTGTTTGTGTTATTGCACCTTTCGTGTACAAAATCAGTGTGACAAGACAAGACAGTATGTCAGTGTAATGACAGGTAAATGATAGTCATGCAGCACTGCCATTGTGACATAAATTATTGACAGTGGTAATTACATCATTGATTATAGCAATATGCTTGACCCAAAGCAAGTACAGTAACAAGTATTACTGATCCTGAATTTCACATCTAAGTGTGTCATTGTTTTATTAACCAAATCCATTAGAACCAAACGGTGGAACAATTGTTCTTACTGACATCCCACCAAGTAAGCCACTGTTCATCTGCGGAAAGCATCCATATGTTACTGCAAAGACCTCAAAGCATCAACTCTATGTATTCTGATGGCTATTCTGTTTTGTTTTCACCACTACAGGAAAAGTCGTTGCCTTCACAACCAAGCTGAGCATCGCTGACAGCACCCCGTACCACTCTGGCATCATGACGCTTACGCATGTGGTGGTCAATGAGGGAGGCAGCTACAGTCCTGACACGGGCATTTTCACCTGCCATTTTTTAGAATGGAGAGAGTTTGGCTTCAGTGTATCATACTAGTCTTCCTAACGGATTCACCCAAGTGGCCAGTATCAGCAGCACAGTGCAGCTGTCTGTGGCAGACATGGTGTGGGTGAATTTATGGGGTCATGGTCGACATGAGATCATCGCAACAGA